AGGCGAGGTGATGGCGAGGTGGCGAAACGGCATAAATGCGGTCGCCGCGGCCCGAATTCGATCCCGTGACCTGCGGATCAACATCCGAGTGCCTTAGTCGCTACAGACCACCATAGCGGGTATCCACAGCCGACAGAGCAATAACTTCGTTACGTGGAAAAATTTTCGTCGGCGACTGTGTCTCTAGCGAATCCTTGAGGCGACGATCAACGCCCGCTCTCTAATCTGCGCGATATTCGTCACGATGACAGAAATCTGCATGAAAACGGCTCTGGGTTAAGGTATAAACCTGATCGTGTAATTACATAAGACACATTCATACTGTTTCTTTCGTCACGCACGTGCCAAAGTTTAACGGGAGCTGTAGCTTGCTGTTCTTTGATATTTCGACTTTCATTTTATACAGAGCCCGTCGACAACGCTAAGGTGAAAGAAGAAGAACAGTTTCAGCACACGGCCCACTCGTTGTTAATCGCAACAATTGTGGAAGGCGAGCTTGGGATCATGGAGTGGGCTCACCGATAGATCGGAGAAAAAATGGTGCACATTGCATGGTATTGAATATTGTGCAGACGAAGGACACTTCTTGTCTGTATGTGCGCCCAGACCATGAAAGAGCGAATGAATGCCAGCTCTGGCGTCTTTCGCTGGCAATTACAATTATCGCTGCTGAATTGCTAATTGGGCTGGGCTTCCGGTGAGCCTTTTTATAATTCAGGAAACCGTTCCAGCTCTCTAATCTGCCTGTAAAGGAGCTCAAAGAATATTCGACTGTACACAATTGAAAAGGGAGATCCTTATAACTTGCTGCAAGCAAAGAAAGTCTTACTGGGAATAAAAAACGAACACAGCAATGTGTGGAAAAACCAGGAGCACTGAACTAAGGGCCTTCTAAAAGAGGAGCCCCCCCAAAAAAAAAAGAGCGCAGTGCCGTCATTAGTAACATCTGCCAAGAGCTCGCTCCAGTGCGTTCATTCACCAAGTGACGGCGGACATCTTCTACCGCCGAAGAGTGGCGCTTCCTGGCCTTCATTCGGAGAAAGCAAAGTGAGCCACATTGGCGACATCGCTGACTGGCGAGCCCGGCCCGCCCTTTTGGCGCTCATCTCGGAGGCCGCGTACATAAGACGACATGCTGCCGCTAGACACCGCAACCCGTGGCGCAAGGCGTTGTTTTAAATGTGCCGGTGCCCACTTTGCCCAAGAAAATTAGACCAATGCCACAGAGTTTTTTAAAGACGATAGTCTTTCTTATGGTACCTCGACGCTAAAGTTTTGGTTTGTCAGTCTGTGTCTGTCTGCCTGTTTGTCCACCGAAACCATACCCGAAACGGCATAATCTAACCCCATCCGCAGCGCCCACCATTATTGCTCAAGTTTCAGCGTTCATACTTGTGCGATTGTAAATTAAAAAAAAAAACAATTATCGCGCATATCTGAGACACAATAACAAGTCAATATCCTGTGGTGTGTCTCTTCATACCAGAGAAGTAATGCATTAATTCTAAGGACCGTAGCATTTATCACGCTGCGCTGATAATGCAACGCTAGGCACAAAAAGCAAGTGTTTCCAACGCTTTACCAAGATGTGATGGTGGTGGCACCTACCCGTTGCTTTGCGTTCTAAATTTTAACGCCTCAGAGACGGGCGCGCACGCCACGCACTTGCTATATAAGAGGCCATTCTTTTGTTTTCCAAGACAACTGCCAGATAGCGCTCAGGTCTCACGTGCGTCAATGCGCTCGTCAGCCTCTGCTGTACTCGGCGAGACTCTCTAACACAGCGCCTCCAGAATACCATTCAACAATGTTCTCGTGCAGAACATCGAATAAACGTTTTGTTCACTCTTTCCAGACGCAAGACTGCCGTTTTTCGACGACATTTGTAGTGAAACATGCAGATACGGCGCCAATTTTTTTTCATTACCTTGGAAGCAATTCATTGATTTATTTGTAGGGTTTAACATCCCAAAAGCACTTTCAGAATATGAGAGACGCCGTAGTGGAGGGCTGCGGAAATTTTGACCACCAGGGGTTCGTTAACGTGCACCCAAATATGAGCACACGGGCCTACAACATTTTCGCCTCCGTCGAAACTGCAGCCGCCACAGCCGGGATTCGAGCCCGCGACCTGCGGGTTAGCAGCCGAGTACCTTTGCCACTAAACCACTGCGGCGGGGCTACCTTGGAAGCTAGTAGGAAATGTAATAAAGGCGGCCGGAAAGCGAGGCAGCACTGCATCTGGTTCTCTCGTACGTGTGAATGGTCACCATAATGTGGTCTCTCTCCATGGCGCCCCGAGAGGCTGCTGCGAACCTCGAGTTCAATTCGCTATGCTTCTGCAGAGATTTATTTGATTTGCATACACAGATACACAAGGACACAGAGGAACAAGGCTTCCTTATTAAAACAGAAGTTTTAGATGTCTCACAAAATTCCGAAAGCGAACGTTGTCGGCGTCAACTGCGATGCTACGAAAAAGAAAACACGAGGCTCCATCTGCTTCGCCGCGGATAACGTCACGACTGTGGACATCTGTGACATTTTCTTGACGCCATTGAAATGTGTAAACTCATGATCATCTAAAGACCCCGCCACTCGGTCGAAATTTCGTTGGCAGCGCCACACCGCAGTAGTTGCACAAAGCTTCACAAGTGAGGTCGTCAATGTAATCCACTGAGGTTGGCAAACGCATGGCCCCAGGCCTCGGAAAGTCTCAAGTTCCACCCATCGCCGATGGTGGGCGAAAAAAAATCGACAGCTAAAGAAGTACCATAATGGATCCGTTCAAATCTGCCCTCGGAGACGCCAAAAAATCCGCTAGGGGCACCATAAAAAAGCACCAAATTTAAAGCAAAGAGAGTCACCATTTTTGCAAAAAGTTCTCTTGTCTATATAATTGAAAGATAACATTTGAATTCCCCGTTGTTCGTAGTACTTCCGTGCACTAAATTAGTTTAGCCATCGTGGTGCCATGCGTGGCCTACTATGGATTCTGTTATCTGTGATGGTGACGAAGCAGAAAACATGCGCTGCCGCCGTTCGACGAGGGCAGCCGACGCGCATGTGCGCAGTTGTTTTCATCCGATGGTTGGCGTGGTCCTTGGCGTTCCGTTTTCTTTCGAGTACGTTTTTATTCGCTTCGGTAAGTCGCTGCAGTTGCTCTAGGAATAGTCACTGTACTGCTGTATGGTGCCACAGGAACTGTCATACTAGTGAAGGCATCAATTTCTGCAAGTTCCACGGTCATGACGGGTAGCTTATTTTGGCCATGTGCGCGCATATTTGTTATTTTTAGTCGGTATATTCACTCTCGGATCTCGTTATCACTGTCGTTGTGCATTTGTGCACTATGTTCATTTGCACTGATCCTGCACGTGTTAAAATGCATGCGCTTCTCTCGACTTTCCCTCCATCGTGATTTGCGAAAAACCGAACCTCCTTGGGCCTTTAGCTTGACCGCACTATGTCGTAATGAAATAAAAAGTGTGGGTGTTGAAGCCGTGCTCGGCGAAAGCAGGAGCTGTAATTCAAAGCTGTAACTAAAGCACCTCATGCTGAATTTTACCACTGTTTTGTAATGATAGCTTCTACCAACGAGACACGCTTTTCTGTTCGTTTTGCCTCTGAAAACGAAGGCGTGCCGTTCGCGAACTCGCAATAAGGCTTCTATCGCTTTTTTTTGTTTGCATTGAAACGTGATTGCTGGTTTGCTCTCAATAAATGTTGTTCCCCGTGCTCATTCGTGAATTGTTTTTACTGGTACCAGCTGCCAATGAATGCCTTTCGGTTCCATGTAACCGTTGTACACACAGGTACTGTGTTCCGAAAGGCGCTTTGGTGTGCTGCTGGGCGTATCGACGCGCTCAAATCAAGCCGGCGAAAGATAACGACAACCGTAGTCCTGCACGAGTCTCGGTCCCTTTCGCCAACTTCCGTTTAAAAAGGATAGCTATAAAATAAAGCATCAGCCGGGGCAACCGCGTAGGTGCATACGCACCCGGTACGGAGAAAAAAAAAAAAAAAAGAGACGGCCATTTTTTTTCTTGCTTGAAAAACAAAAAAGAACAAATTTCGTTTACCGCTTCCTGCTTATTCAGCGCTATCTCTTGATTGCCCTCAGCAGTTCAATGCACCACCGCTGCTTATCTTGTGTACTGTTGCAGAGGCTACAGTATCCCTTCTCTAAGTTGGTTCTTTATTCTATGATGGCCCACAACTGAGGCTCGTCAAGTGTTGTGTATAAGATAATGCATTACCCAGTGCGCTGCGGGATTTTGCCTTCACGCGTTACAGAGATTGTAACAGATTGTAATTTTAGTGGGATATAAGGGCGTGCCGAAAGAAACATGGTAAATATGCCTTAGGAAAATGTGAACCCGCAGATCGCTGCTTACACAATTTTAAACTCGGTGCTTTTTACATCTTACGCTAGACATCTTAACTTTAGAAGTAAGGGCTTCTGCAGCCTTACTGACTTGTGGAGTGTCCTGGCCCGATAACATTAAACAACCCAAATAAAATATGGCTCCATTTACCTTTCATTTATTTAGTGCGCACTGTCAAACAAATGTACCATATGCGAATTTGTTACAGTGCTGTCCATAATGTGTTTGGTCTGAACGTTTGTAAACTTTGCTATTGCACAATACTTTGCCTTCTTACAGGCATATACAACACTGCTACGAAATCCAGTATAGAGCAAGCAGTATTTGTAGAAATAGATAATTGGTATCGCGCAGCACTTGCGATATAAATGATGCCGAAAAGAATTCAATTATTGGGCATCCAGAACTTACAAATGTAAGAATTTTTCAGGGGTATCCTTCAACAACACTCCTTTCACAGTGCCCGTTCTTCCAAAATGTTCAGTCTAAGCCTATTTATTCGGCGATCCTCTCGTACTTCGAAGGTTTTTGGTAAGTAATTTGTGCTAGGGTATGCCCCCGTGCATACCGTGTGAAATATAAAACCGAGAATTGACGTGCCGAACAACTCACCCTTCCAAACTGCTGGAAGTAGTTCTTGACGTCCTCCAGCGTCGTAGGCGCAGAAAGGCCACCAACGAACACTTTTTTTGTTCTGGTGACCATCTGTAATAGAACCAAGAAAGGGCAAGACTGTCATTGAACAATACATCCTATAGTTACATAAGAGAGCAAAGTACACCAGCGTGAACACGTCTGCACGGAATCACAATGAAAACCTTGCCTGGACACAATCATGTGATATCCTTCAAAAGAGGCTACGACTGAAGAGCAGCGTCAGTACGACCGTGTGGCTTCTAGCCTGACGCGACCGCCAAGTTCAACGCCGACGCAACCTGCACGCTCTGCAAGCGCACTTCAGCCTTTTACAACTACTTCACAGTTGTTTCCCACCAATTCGGCCGGCCTTCCTTGCAAAGCGAAGTATACGTACGCCGCTTCGAGTGCATTTTGCCTTTGCGGACAAACCAGTCAAATGTTTCACCGCACCAAGCACGTCATTAATGCAAACTTTCACGCTCACGTAGCTCTTAGCGCCGACTGAACATCGGCAGATAGGAGCGTCCGTCAACCCTTTGACGCCAAGCCAGCTACTTTGCCCTTCGCCGTCCTCGAGCCATGATGCCGCGCATCCTTCCCTAATAGCTAATAGCTGCAGAACCTGGTAACTAACCAACACACGTGTGAACCTAGTAAGGTTAGGTGGCTCGAGTCTTTGGAGAGGTCCCCGATACAGCCTGTACTTATACAGCGGACATTCTACCAGACGACAGAAACCGGGACGCACCTCTGCCATTAGTCACTGTATTATGGCGTCAAGCGCACGCTACAGCTTTCTGGTGTTCGGCCGCTTACCTTTCCGTCATTTCTTCACTGCCTCAGATATAACTGCTTTCATATTAAGCACACCCTTTAAAAAACGTAAGGAGTGCAAGTATGCTAATGCGGGCACACAACAACGGCTTCAACTGAAAGAACGCCCTAGTGTGCAAAAACTAAAGACAGACCTGCGTACGTGCACTCATTGGTGGCGTCACTTGCCGATCGAACACACGTGGGGATCTACGAACAAGAGATAACCGTGGAGGCATTTCATTTCGTATGCTATATATCAAAGCACACGGCTGAAACTCACTGCCTTTTTTCAACTTGCGAGGACACGTGCAACACTTCCCGCCTGATGCCCCGTGGTCCCGCTTACAAATTGAAAAGTAAGGTCTGCAGCAACAATCTAAAATCGACTATCAGCCCGTAGGGAACAATCGAGTTTCCAGTCGTCTCCTAGGAACAAGAAAAAAAAAACGCGTATTACAAGCTCGCATGCTCGACGAATGCTGCCGTCACGAAAGTGATCTCAACAGGAGAAAACAAAAGGAAAAAATTCTGCCTACGCCTCTTAGTTCCATATGTTTTTACACTCTGGACTCCAAATAGGCGTATTATTTTCAGATGTTGTGATAGCTTGACAAGGTTAACCAGTGAATCGTTTTTCCTAAAGCTATTACGGCCCTAATATTTGAAAAAAAAAAGTTCCTATATCTGGATTGGCGCTTTTCTTAGCATTCTCACAGTTTGTTTCGGTAGATTACCATCATTTTCATACCATGTAACTTCACTCAGGCATGCAGCAAGGCTCGCTACTAGGCCCAGTATTATTTGTAATTAGTATAATAAATAACACCTCTTCCAAAACATGCCTGTTTGCGGAAAACTGCGCCTTATATCGTAATTATAGGAAAACAAGACTAGATTATTTTCTTCAAAAATTTTTATAGTTGGTGCTACATTAGAAAATGCTTGGATACAATAAGGCGCTAGTTTAGGTCGGACACACAGAGAAGTCGTAATGAAACGATACCGCCAACAATGGGCGAGCTTGAGCCGCGCATGAAGTGCTCAACCGAGATCATTTCCTCCCACTTAAGAACGACGCACGCGAGTTTAACTTTGTCATATTCCGTTTGTGGCAAAATCATTGCTTGACAGCCCAATTAGTTCGATTGCCTGAATCCAAGTGAGTGCCCTTATATTAATGTTATATGATTTATTTTAAATCACGCTGATATATTGAGATGTGGCCTTTTGAAAATACCGCCAATTCAGTCGGAATAGCATGATTTTTGTGAAGCACCAACGCTTAAGACGCGTGTTCGATGTTTCTGGGCCTGCCAAGCAAAATAAGCAGTTAGTGGAGGAAAAAATCTGCCCAATCCAGTCAGTGAAAACCGTCAGAACCACGAAGCTGATGATCCTTTTTGTCAGACCTTTCCATGTTTTTTTTTAATGTTTCCAAGTATTTATCTGATGTATCATTGCTTTTTACTTGACAATGCGTTAAGCTGCGAGGCGACAACATTTTAATTCACGGGTGCGCCGACATAGCGTTGCCGAGCTACATACGCCATGCTAACACTCTCCGAGCGCCACAGAGTTTCCCATAAGTACACTATAGAGGCCACTCTGGCGCTAGCCCTCATGGGAGCTGCAACGCACGGCGCTTCCCCTATCACAGGAATGATGTACTCGTATGATCTTCGTTCGTTCAGCTCCGTTTGGTTCTGCGTGGCTGGCATCCGTTTCGTCGCAAGACGAAGTTAGCAAATCTTCGACACTCACACTGTACCACTTAAACGTTTTTTAAGCTCACCAATTAAAATCGGCTCATGAAGTTCACAACGTCTCATTGTTAACACGAGAAAAAAAAACGTCATAACAACGCAGTAAACAAAGCCACAAAAGCGTTTGAAGCCGCAAGCTCGAATATCAAGCAAATGCTCGTACTACCCATCGTTACCATGGTTGTTGAACGATCGCAGCGCCAGAGTTTCTTCTAGTGAATAGTGTAGGAAACTATGACAAGCCCCACTCCGTGTACTATCCTTGCTCTCGGCGCACTATACCGATCTGCTGAGCGTCACGACGGCTCACGGTGACCGCTCTGCTACCAAGGGCTCTGCTTTCAAAAGGTACCGTATTTACTAAATTTCAAAGCGCACTCGACCTATATGATCTAGAAATAAAAATACGACCAACGCCCATTTTATCAAGCACCTGTTCTCCTTCCCCGAAGAAAAAGTAGTAAACAGTGCAACCACGTCTAAGGCGCATGTATTTTTCAGGAACGAAAGAAATGCGCATATATCTTGTTGATTCCCACAGCTCATCTCCAGTATCTAAAAATCCCCCAACATGCGGACCGTGGCCGCCTTTGCTTTGAAGACGTGTTCTCGGAGATCCACTTCTGGAGCCAGTCGCGAACGCAAGTCTATACGCCGAAATGACAGCGTGCACTTTTGTTGCCGCTTTCTTCCGCATAAAAAAAATAACGTTTAAAAGAACGTTTCTCGCGGCGGACACGACGCGTCTTCGTGGCCGCTGCATCCTTTCTTGGACAAGGTGGTTGAAAGGTCGCACAACCACAATGACTTATTGCAAATGCCCCCAGTGAGGCAGAAAGTCACTAGAAAGTGTGCCACCACAGTTTCCTGCACAAATAAACGGTGACGCCATATAATAACCATGGCGATGGGAAGTTTCGATTGGTACCCGAACCCAACGCGCAAATGATTCTAAGGTCTCTTTTTTTTTTTAAATGCGGAATGTCACGCTTCGTGCGACGGCGTTGTCCACACACCCACTGCGCATGCTCGCACCTGGTGTATCGTGCGAACTGTTTGTCCCCCCCCCCCCATTTCTCTCTTTCTATCACGCCGCAAGGTTAACGCAGGCAGCGTCTGCTAGTAAAAACTGACTGCTCGAGCTGCACAACTGATCACTGGCCAACCCGCATACGTAAGCACTGGATCGCCCATCAGCGTCCCACGTGCCACTCGTTGAAGGCAACGCTTCTCCTTCACTCAATAAGAATAATAAAGACGAGATAACGACTAGGCATTCCCGAAACCATACCGAATTATGCAACATTCACGCGATACCCCGACCACTCTGCGACGCATTTATTCGAGTTCCCCTCGTGGGAATATGCGGGCGGCATTTTTCGTAAAATAGGTGCGCGTTGGAATTGCATAAATACGGTAATACAATCACGTTCAATTTTCGGTCTTACGGGCTGGAAACAGGATGCTGTGACTGTAATTTCCTGCCTTTTCATCAATGTATACCTAACAGTGACACTGCCCGAAAATGGAATGTTACCGAGCGGAATCATGCCGAGGCACTGGCGCATATTGGTATACCATCCGTGGGACGTGGAAAGCCCCTTCGCCATATCGCAGGAATGTTCGAAGAAGTTGGAGACCAGCTGGCTCTTTCTGAACAAGCGACGCAATCGCACTTAAGAATTGTCAACAGAAAAGCGGAAATACGGTCACCGTTACTCGAAATGTTTTTCCGTCCACAGAATAGAAACAGCGCCGTGTTTCAAGTCTGTGAGGAGCACTTCAACGTGGCAGGAGCTTTGTTCAGATCGACACTATAAAAGGAAAGCAACGCGCTCAACCATAGAAATACGTAATGCACGACGCTAGAGCGTCCACCTAAGCGGCGCATCAGCTTAAAGAATGCGCTGAAAGGAGAATTGAAAAAAAAAAAGCTGCTGCGTGCGTACAACGTGACACGTTTCCCGAAAGCTGGCAGCTTTCGCAGCAGCATATATGGATAGAATGCGAGCCACAAAAGTCGCACGCGGAAACAAGAGGAGGCACTAAAGTGTTTCACATAAAGTGTATACATCGCTTCGTTTTTCTTCCATATACGTCACTGCTACTCGGGACAAAAAGAGAAGAAAAAGAAACAAGTCAACATTTTCGCGAACTCTCCGTTATCAACGATGATTTGCACGAATACTTGAAGCGACCCAGCGCCTTATCGAAAATGCGGTCCTCCTCTTAACGCTACTTCTGCATTATGAGTAAACCATAGCAAAAGGGGAATCGTTCGGCAAAACAAAGAAATGCGTCAAATCGGGTATTTCCATGAAAATAATGCGAAAAATTTGCCCACACAAGACGAAGGTGTGGGAAAGTGACACCTGCAAAGCGTGCCTCCTTTGCCGAACGTGGGGCTGAGTACATGTTGCCGGACAAAGCAAAATATCTCGAGAAGTTTATCGTATAGTACGGCGTTCTCATTCCTTCTGTAGATAG